GGAGATGGGGGATATTAACATCAATCCCTTGTCCTGGTGAGATCATGCTCCAATTGTGTTGGGAGATCTGTAACAAGGTAGGACCTATTCAGTCCATCTGCCCCAGGCTCCTAATGGTTCTGCTGGCGTCCAGAGGGAGCTTGGATCATTCCTGAGGCTCTGGAATATGTCTCAATTGAGATCTGAGTCACCACTTGGAATGAGTGGATGATGTGCTGGCCTTGGGCTTCTCTCTGCTTCTGGGTCCTGGACACCCCCTCCCCCACTCCCAGTTTTTGGAGGAGCTCTGAGAGGTGAATAAGCAGCAGAAGCACCTAGAGTGCCACTGGAGGAAGAAGAGCAAATCTCACCAAACATGAGCAACAGCCTTTATTACTTTAAAATGAGAACAGTGGTGAAACATCATTATTTCTCCACCTTTATTGCTGACTGCTCACCCTGTCCTATGACTCAGTTCCCTTGGGGATAGGGGAGTCAGATTAATGCCTGCAGGGCTGCTGTGAGGAATATTCTAGGTATATGTTGGATAAAGTTGCTCAGATCTACTTTGAGCTGGACTGGCTGGGCAAATCCAGTGGAATTCATTGATGCATGGCTCTGCCTGGTTATCTGGGATGAGTCAGGTGGTCCCAAGGAAGTGGATAGTATCCTCATGACTCAGGTTCAGCCCCCTGTGTTTTAGATCCATAACCCTCCTGGCTGGTTGAGACCTCTCAGGAGGTGACATGTAGTTGAGTTTGGGCGGGGGGGTCCCACCTGCACTTAAGGAGACAGCAATTGGCCCCCTCTTCAAGAACCTATCCTTGGACCTAACAATACTGGACAATTTTCATCCTGTCTCCAACCTCCCCATTTTGGGGAAGAGTTGAGAGGGCAGTTGGCTGCAGCTTCAGAGAGCCCTGGAGGAAGCGGATTATCGGGATTCAGACCTGGTTCTAGTACTGAGACAGCATTAGTCAAACCTGCTGATGTCCTATGTAGAGACCTGGAATGGTGGAGCTGCATCCACCTTGGCCTTCCTTGAACTCTCGGAAGCTTTCAATACCCTCAACCTTCTGGATCAACTTAGGGATACTGTATAGGCATGGGAGACATGGTGTTGGAGTGGTTGCCCTCCTTCCCCTAGACCAGTTCCAGTCAGTGGATGGGGAATTCTAGTCAATGTTGAAGAGGGGGGGAGAGAGGCGTGTAGCCCTAAACCTCCAACGTGTGGGTGCCATAGGGCTCTAGTCTCTTCCAGCCCCTATTTAACATCTATATGAAGCCGCTGAGTGAAGTCACCCAACGGCATGGGGTTAGGTACCATTAGCATGCTACCCAGTTATATCTCTCTACACTGGGTCTGCCAAATGATGCTGCCAAGATGCTTTCTTAATGTCTGGAGGCTATAGAGCTCTGGATAGGCAGGACCAGGCTTGGGCTCAACCCAGGCAAGACTGGCTATGAGTTTTGGGACCTCTGGAGCTGGGGACTTACCATCTTTGATTCTGAGTGGGGTAGCCCTCCCCCAGACAGAGCTGGTGCACAACTTGGGGGTCCTCCCAGACTCTTGGCTCCTGCTTGACGAACAGGTGGAAACTCTGGCTGAGAGGGCATTTATACACCGCCATCTTATGTGCCACTTGTGCCTGTTCCTAGACTAAGAGGCCCTGCTTACGGTCATTCATGGTTTGTTCACCTCCTATTTGGGCTGTTGCAGTGGGGCTGCCCTTGAAGACTACTTGGAAGCTGCAGGTGGTCCAGAATGCAGTAGTTACCAGTGTGTTGAAGTTCCCCTATGTTACACCTTTGCTCCACAAGCTGCACTGGCTCCTAGTGAACTGTGTGCAGTTCAAGAGGCTGGTTATCAGCTATAAGGCCCTTCATGGCGTTGGGTTGGGTTACCTGCAGGAGCTCCTGTCTTCAATTACTTAGGCTCATCCCATGAGGTCTGGCAGGGTAGACATGCTTGGGGTCCTCTCTATTACACAGGGCCATATAATGGGATCCAGGAAGCATGCCTTCTCTGTCATAGCACCTACCCTATGGAACGGCACCCCTCCCCCCAAAATTTGGATGGCCCTGACCTTCCATAAGGCATGAAGGACCTGACTCTTCCCCTGAGCTTTGGGCTTGGGGACTGGGTGAGCCCATTTAGTGTGATGACTGTTTACTTGGTGTTTGCTCCCTGCACACAATGATATTTTAAATCATCTTTAATTATTATTGTGGTCATTTTATTGACCACTTGCAGGTCAATACCTCTATAAGCATCAACCACCCAAAGGAACCTGAAGGTATTATGATCATCTGGGCAAGGTGGAGCCCATCCCTGGTTTTCTAGAGCGGCTGGACTAAGAGATGGCTTGGCCTCACCCTTCTGAAGGCTTTCAGGAGCAGCTGCCTTGCTGCTGGGGGTCACCTTTCCTCTTGCCTCCTTTTGCAGGTCTGCAAAGGTTCCCCCCCAGGGGTGTGGGTCTCCAGCACTGACATGTTTCTGACGGTCCCCACCATGCCGGGTGAGTGTGCCTGTGGGGGCAGGGGAGTGACTGCAAGCCGGACGAAAGAAACCCTCTTTCGCAGAGGGGCTGAATGTGTCAGGGGGCCTTAGGCTGTTTAAGCTGAACCCTAGCTGTTGTGTTCCTTCACCCTCTGAGAAGTTGTTCCAGGGACACAGGCGAGAGACCCCCTGAGTGGGGTGGGCCCTAGGGGAGGGAAAAGCAGGGGCTCCGGTGCACCTCTCTCCTGGCCTCAGCATGGCCTGCTTGGGATCCTGATTCCTACTGAGAAATTCCATGGGGTTTGACGGCTATCAGAGGGAGGGAGGACCAGATGGTTGATGAAACCCCATTTCCCCCTGCAGAAATCAACTGGCAAGGGTTCCAGGGGGTAAAAGTCATTGCAGTGCCTGCCAGTGTCTCCTATGCCAAGCAGCATGGCGTCTACTCTGTGGATTCTCAGGTACATCCCTGGAGGGTCGCTTCCACAGTCAGGCGGCAGCCCTTGATGCAGAGGCATCTCCCTGGCTTTGCCTGGCAGTTCCAGAAGTTTGGTTTCTCTAAAGTTTCACCTTTTGCCAGAGGTGCCATCTGAGGTAGCTAACAGAACCATAACACAAAGTAAAACCAAAACAATGAAGGGATATGGCTTCCCCACAAAAAAGATCCTCAGTTCTTTGCTGGGGATTTAGCCAACTCATGGGTGACAAAAACATGGCTTTTTAGGCCCCACCTAAAAGGCAGAGTCTAAAGAACAGGTAGATTCTATCACGAAGTAAACAGAGAGATAACAGTCCCCAGATAAGTGTCCCCACCCTTGATAGGGAGACCCACATTCGCTCTGGAACTCCTGCCCTGTCCAGGCTGACTGAGAACAGGTGACCAGGTGCCAGTGGGGCAGCTAGGGGTGCAGGGGCTGCTTTGAGCCCCAAAAAGGAAGGGGGGCAAGGGGCCCCCTTCCCCTGCTTTCTTCCTGGGATCCTCTTCCAGCCCTGATTTTCCCTCCCCACAGCTTTTTCCTGCCTATTGGGGTCAGCTCAAAGATGGGCCCAGAATTTTGGCCGAGCCTCAGAGACCCCTTTTCTTCTCGGTGCTGCTCAGGGCGCTTTCCCTTCCAGCAGCAGGGAAGCCATGCCCTGCGGCCCCACCCTGGTCCGGCAGGAAGACCAGCCATGCCTAATTCGCCCCCAGCACGTTTTGCTTCCACAGGGGGTGGTGCAAGACATCCTCCACCAGAGCTCCGAAGGGGAGATCCAGCAGTGCTTGGGGCCTGATGGGAAGGTCCCCCTGGTGAGTGTGGGGCTTGGTGGGACTGGAAACAAAGCCGTCTTGCTCGCACATAATGGTGCAGCTGAGTCCAGCATGTGAGCTGGTGCGTGCAGACCCAGAGCTGGCCCGGCCCTTCTCTCTCCTGCAGGTGTGCGGGGTTGTCTTCTTCTCCTCCGGAGCAGCAGAGCAGCTTCTGGCCACCCATGTCGTCCCTCCGCTCAATGCCTGCACCTACATGGGGCTGGACTCGGGAGCCCCAGCCCTTCAGGTGAGGAAGCCCTGTCCTAGGCCAGGTTGGCAAAGAAAAGCTCAGGAGTGAGTTTTGGGGCTTAGTGGCAGCAGGCACCCGGTTGTAAAAGCTGAGCAGTGGGCGTGAAGAAGTGTGTTCGCGTTCCCACTAGCTGGCTGGCCCTGGGAGAAGGCAAGGCCAGCCAGCCGATCTCCTAGAGGAGGTCCCAAGCTGGGGTGGAGGGGAAGCTGGTTGAACTGGTGCTCCCAAGTTTTCTTGACAGGATCATCTGTCAAGGGGCCCTATCCTGGCCCTGGGATCTTGGGTAGGCCTCCTGGGCTTTTCTTTGAAGCAAGAAGAGTTTGTGCTGGATGAGACGCCAGGTGTCCACCTGGAAGGTTCCCATGATCCAAATGGGCCTTTCACCACCTGGCACCTTTTCTAGGTGCCGTCTCCTGTTCCACAACTGGGTTGAGGGGGTCCCAACTGCCCCCCATCACAGTCTCTGTAAGAACATCATGAGCCCTCCCATCCCTGCCATTGTATGAAGAGTTCCCCTCCCATTAAGTTCCTTTCTCTTGGCCTCTGGAGCTTCCAGCAACAAACCCCACACCTGGGAGAGCCCCCAGCCATCCCCTCTCTCCCTATTCCCAGGATGAGGAGATAGGCGTGCAAGTGCCCTTTCCGGGGGCATTCGCTTGATTTGCCCCCAAAAGGACTTTCTCGCCTTTCTTCCCCAGGGCTTCCAGAGAATAGAATGTGATCTCCCTTCCCATTTTTCTGGGCTCCCTCCACTTGGCAAGAATCATGTACTGTATTTACAAAGCTGCATTCTGGTTCTTAACAAGCATGTGCTTGGATGTTTCGGCCTTGTACGGTTCCAGAATCCAGAATCCACATCCAGAGGAGGATGTGGGATTTCAGATAGAAGCCCTGCTGCCCAGTAAAGCCTTTGTGGTTCAGTTGGATGCTCTGATCCTGCAGAATTATGTCTGGGGCCATAAGTCCTTCATCTTCCGAAGAGGGAGTTTGCTTGCAGTTCAGAAGCCAGGGCAGCCTTTGATCCTCCCGCAGCCTCCGATGGTCCACTGTCTTTTCCCCAGGGGATTGACGTGCAGCTTGAAAATTGCACTTTCCCTGGATGAAGGACTGGGTGAGCTCCCTCCCCTAGTGGACTGACTTTTTCTCTTCCCTCAGCTGTCTCTCTTCTTCGACCTACTGCTGTGCATGGCCCAGGCGGTGAGCAAAGAGGCCTTTGTAGCAGGATGCCGGGCTGGGACGCGTGGAGGAGATATCCAGAGTTCTAGGGCAACTCGGAGCGCCCGGTCTGTCCTGTGGAAGACTCTCCACACAGTGCCACTCACGATGGGTGAGGCTGGCCTATGGGGTCCCATTGCATGCCTCCCACTTGCTTGGCTGTGCCCATTGGAGCTGGTGGCTCTTCTGTGGCAGCACCTGCTTCCTCCTGGGGTGATGGCGATGATGGTGGCTGAGAAGGGCCTGGACAAGGAGAGGAGAGGATTTGGAATCCCAGCTGGGGGGCACAGGAAGGTGAAAGACATGGAGGGACTGTGGCAGGAGACAAGAGCCTCCCTGGTTTGTGCAGGCAGAGCTGGAGGCCCCCTGAGGGGACGCTGCTCATTGTGCATTGAGCCACTGACTGCTGTTAGCATGTTCATGGCAGCCCTTCGTCTTCCCAGCATACCTCCCTGATGGCGCCTATGGCTATATGACCACATCTGCAAGCGACCACATCTACCACCTTACCCCTCATGTGGGCGATGCGCACAGCAGTGGTTTCTGCAAGGTGGCTCATTCCCATGTGGTTGTAAGTACCCTTTCCTCATGGGGCGGCCTCTTGGCTAAGAAACAGGAGTGGTAGGAGTCCAAAGGCAGACAGCGTTGCGTGCAATCAACAATCAGACTTAAAAAATTCTCGTCACACTCCAGATCCTGTTGATGAGACAACTCCTTCTTTGCAGCTTGCGCTCTTCAAATTCTCACGTGGGAGGGAAGGCAGAGAGGATATCGAGTCCTCAAGTTTCTCCCAGAGCCGTCTTGAGTTTAGTCCCCGCTCCAGCCCCATCTGGTGGGGTTTTCCTGGCATTTCCCCCCTTATCTTTCATGCAGGAGCCTCATCTGCTGGAAGAAGGTTGCTCCGTCACCAACTGCCTGTTGAAGGGAGCTGTGGCTGTGGGGTCTGGGAGTGTCATCCAACACTGCAGCTTGGAGGTGGGTGGGTGCTGTTTCTTGCTGTTCCGCCTGGGCACCAAAAGGTCTCTGGATAACTCGGAGTGTTTCTGGATTACCTCTGGCTGGTGCAGAAGGGGAGCTAGTGCCAAAGATCAGTCATAGGACAGGGAATGTTACTGGACAACCCAGATAGGCCCAGGTCCAGAGCACAAGATGATATGGAAAGGACTGCATCAAGGTCTGAGGTCTGCTCTTAGGGGCCACATAAGCGAGAAGGCCTCATGGCCCATAAGCACACTGGACAGATGCTTTGCTTGGCCCCCGGGGGCCCCTGAGAGAATTCTTTCTTGCGGTTCTGGTCCAGGCTGGAGGTGCTGTTAAACTGGAAGGCTGCAACAAGCCCACCCATTCTACTTCATGAGGGAGAGGTGTTGGTGGTGCCTCTCCCAAAGCAATGGGAACATGGTTGGTTGGCAGCGTCCAGGTACCTGAATGGCCCGGCCCAGTCAAACAGGCAGGCTTTCCTCATCCTGCTTCTCCTCCATCCTGGGGAAAGCGACTCTGGGGCTTTCCAGAAAGACGTTTTCTGGGCAGTCACACTGCACCAGGCAGAAACTGGGGCAAAGACTCAACAGTGTGCTAGGCTGTTGGTCCCTCTGGCATAGTGTGGTTGGTACTGTGGGTAACAAAAACTGTCTAGGGCTTTAAGGAGGAGTTTTTACAGCTTCCCCTAGATATGCCATGCCAGGGGCTTCCTGCGTGCAGAGCAGATGCTGTGCCGGAGACAAAGTCACCCTCGGACCTTTACCATGGGCCGAGTTGGCCAGGTTCTGGCCAGGTCTTGTATGGTTGTTGTGCTGCACGAGGACAGAAGGCCGCTTGATCTTTCTCCAGGGCCCCTTGCAGATCCATTCTGGCTGCCTCCTCACTGGGCTGGATGTGGCCGCCTCTGTGGCCCTCAGGAGCCACTTGCTTGAGGATGTGGTCATTCAGGGACACGTTATCCGGCTGAGACACATTAGCTGCAAAGTGTTCACTCTGAGTGGACGTCATGATGACTGGCAGGTACGTGCAAGAAACTAATTCTGATCTGTGTGGGGAATAGAGCTCCTTTCTCCAAGCCACTGGAAGTTTCTTGCAAGTTCCCAACTGCCACCTTCTTCAAAGTGCATGGCGTATCAGAAGGGGAGTGGGGTCTCCCAGCAAGTGTAAGATTATTTTCTCAGCTCCCTGAACCCTTCATAAGAACATAAGCTGGATCAGACCCCTGGCCGTTCTAGCTGAGCTATCTGTGCTCACGGTGCCCAACTACCTGCAAAGGAAGCCCACTAGTCTCCCAACAGAGGCAGTCGCACATTTCCCTAGCCGATTGCTCCTTATCTGACACCAGAGACCGTTCTCCACAGAGTATGGCGACCGAAGAGAGCGGCACCTTCTTGAATTTGCCATGGCCAGCCTTGTACCACCGGACTGGAATACGGTATGTGACCAAATCCATCTTGGTAAGGCTGTGGGGCTCCTGTTGATGCTCATCCCCTTCCCTACATGGCTGCATGTTCTTTTTACCCATCCACGTGGGCCCACAATAGCAGTGAGGCGTTATGAGTGGTGGATTGTGCTATCCAGTCACTCTGGGGCTGGGGAGGCTGTGGTCAAATTATGGGGTTCCACATCATGGGTCCTTTTTGATACCATGCACTTCAGGGTGCCAGCAGGAGCTTGTGGTTAATTTTTTTAGAGCTCTTGGAGGGGCTTGGAGTGATGTTCTTGAGGACTTTTCAGAGACCTGGCAGCTGCAGTGCTGGGATATTTCCTGACACATGTCCTGGGAGAGATGCAGGCGTGTCTGGACCAGGAGGCTAAACTGGTCTCTGAACAAGGCCAGATTGGATCTAATCCTGTGTTGCTAGAATGTGGTGTGTTTTCAACATTTGAAGGACTCAGCGGGGCCCCAAAATTAAACAAAACATGTAGGAAGACAAACATTTAGCCCATGGATGAGTAAGTAGTCTTCAGAGGAAAAGGCATAGCCATGCAGAAATAATCAGCTTCTCTCTTAGGCCCACTCTTTGTCCTACACTTTGTCCCACCCCTGGGTGGGTTGGAGTGGGGACTACAAATGAAGCTAAGAGGGGCTAACTGGGATTGCACCCCAGCAAGCAGTCTCAAGCTAAACAAGAAATGCAGGGAGGTCCATTGTGGTTGTGGAGACTGGTTTGACTCCAAGGGTTTAGAGAGTCCTATGATGCATTTTTATGGGGCTTCTGGGAGGTAACGTTTTCAAAGTTCTGCTGCATCTACCTTTCTTCCTCATTCAAATATTTGCTGCAGTTTTACTCCTGGCCAGAGATATGGTAGCCAGCGGACTATGGGCACTGGGTTCTCGGTCCCCTGCTCTTAAAAGGCCACTCTGGCTAATGGCAGCATAGCAACACTGTGGATTCCTCTGGTGGGTGTCATTTCTTGGATCTGCTCAAACTGCCAGGGTTTTCAGGACTTTGCTCTGTGGTGACAGCCGAATGGTTTTCATTTTACATGGCTACGTTGCTTCCAATGTGCTTCTCACCTGAGTAGGAGCCAGGACCTTTGGAGCCCAGATGTCCCGCCAAACAAGCGCTGCTTGCTGAACGCCCGCCTCTTCCCTGTGTTCCATGTCTCTGAGCCACTGGACCTCGGGGACCTCTTGTGGCTCTTGGGCTCTTCAGAGACCAAGCAGCTGCAGTGCTGGAGAAGGTCCTGGCGCATGTCCTGGGAGGAGATGAGGGTATGTCTGGACCAGGAGGCTGAACTGGCCTCCCGCAAGGCCATCTTTTTCCTACAGGCTCAACACAAAATCCAGCATGTCCTGATGGAGCAGAGAAACTGCAGCCTCCTGCCATTGATCCGCTCTGCTGTCCTGGAGGGTTTTGGGGAAGCTCTGCTGGATACACTGGACCAGGGTAAGGAAGCGGATCTTCCCCTGTTTTGCTGACCTTGATCTCATGCTAAGCATGTTTCTTGGTCAGTGTGCCTGGGGAATTTGTGAGGGCCACCTCCTGTTGCGGGGGCTTTTTTCAGGCCAGCCTCTCTGAGCAGGCATTTGGATTGTGATCTGGGTTCCCCCTAGGGGTGCAAATGGGGCCAGAGAACTAGCTGCTGCCAAAGTGGGGGGAGGCAGAATTTCCAGCCCCCTGGCAAGCTCCCGGAAGAAGCCCTCACCTTGTCCTCTGTGTCCTTCATAGTTGCTGCCTCTGCTGGGGATCTCGGAGTTGCTGCTCGAGCGTTGGCGTGTGTCGCAGATCTCCTGGGTTGCATGGCCAGAGGCAAGGGGGGCTTACGGAGCGGCCCCACAGCCAACCTTGCTTGGGCGGCAGCCTTCCAACAACTGGAGAAGGGAAATATCGCTCAGGGTATAAAGGCGCTTGCTGTGGAGAGGAAGAAGTGGCTAAACAGGTACTGGAAGTGGCGGGGCCATGATATGGGGCAGCCTCAGTGGGGCTGCCAGGGAGACCTGCTTCCCACGTGTACCATTGGGCCCTCTGTTTTTCTCCCTGCCCCAGAGCCACCTGGAAAGACCCACTGCCCAGCAGCAGGCAGGTTGCATCTATTGCCCTGGGCCCTTGCTGCTGCTGCCAAGCACCCCTCTTCCCTCCCGGAGCCATTTCCGGGGAGGCTGTGTGGGCATGGAGGAGGTCCTGCTCCATCCCTGCCAGCCTTCGCAGCACAGGAGGGATCCAGCAGAATTGGCCGTGCTCCTGCACCTTTGGGGAAATTTCCCTCGCTTCCCTACCTACTTTATGGGAAGGCTGCCCTGAGGGCAGCAAACAAAATCAAGGCTCTTTACAAAGGGGAAGTACCAGCCAGAGGCCCCCAGCAGCCCCGCTCACCTTCTTTCCCATATGCCTCCTGGTCTTGCAGACCCATCCTGCTGGTTCGTGCTGCCCGGCACTACGAAGGGGCTGAGCAGATCCTCATCCGCCGGGCCGTGATGCTGTCCTGTCAGTTCATCAGCCTTTGGCAGGTAGAGCTGCCACCCCTGGGCTGCTGGGTGAGAGTGGACTGTCCTGCAAGGATCGACTTCTCTGGTATGTCGCAGGTAGCAAAGAGGCTTGCGAGTTGCCTGTTGAGAGTTGCTTGCTCGTTTGGGGCCCCTCTTCTCTTGGGGGCTGGGTGCATAGAACACACGGGGCTAAAATGTGTCTAGCTTGCAGCTCAGGGGAGCGTGGACCTGGCAGTTGGGTTAATTAATACATGGGGGGTTAGCATGTTGTGCCAAAAGCCCTGAGCAGACAGAGGTTGGAAGATGCCTGAGCTTTGATGCAGGCCCCACATATGTGTCCAAGGGCTCTCCTACAGCTGGGGTTGTGCTTGTCTCTGTTCTGTTCTCCATTATGCAAAGTTCAGGAGATGTTTCAAAAGGAAATGACTCCAAACCTTTATTTTCCCTGTAGCTCCTTCATCTGTTTTGCCACCAGGTTTCCTATAGCTCATAGCTTTTCTGTGTAGCATGGCCTATCAGCCCTAAAGCCCAACAATCATTACTGGCTCTGAAGAACGTAGCTTACCCACCGTGCCAACACTTCTCCAGTCTTCATTCTTCATCCTCCTGCTTCCAGTCTTGCTGAAGGCAACTAGAAACTCCTGCCACCATCTCCTCACTGTGTGGAAAATCTTTATAAAGCATGAGGACGGGTGTAATTTTTGTTTCAACACCTCCCACCTAATTCTGTAATGGTGGAGGCACCTCGGTGACACTCCCTCTGCCAGCAACATCCTGTGCCTATGGATAAGGGTAGCAAGAAGTCTGGATTGTGTTATATCCTTCAGAGGTATTCTCTTTCTGCACAACCCACGTACTTTTCCTTCTTGATGATAGGTAACCTCAATGTTCCTCCTCCGTTTCACTAGGTCAGTTTCAGAAGTTAGCAAGAGATGTGCCAAATCTTGCATGGTTGTGCACAGGATGAGGCTTGAGCCAAGAAATTCCATCAGCTCTAAGAGAGGTGTAAAAGCTCAAGCTTTGTTTATGTTTTTTATCTTCATGGCTATCTTGAAGAACTTTGGTTACATAACCAGTGTTTTTTAGGGGGCTGGAGTGATACCCCTCCAATCACGTATGAGCACGGGGGAGCGGTTGTGGATGTGGCTGTCCTGGTGGATGGCTGCAGGCCTATTGGTGCCCAGGCACGACGCATTCCTGAACCTGAATTGCAGCTGATCAGTACCAGTGGAAGTCTTGAGGGAGAGGTAGTGGTGGAGTTGGTATGTCACAGCCTGGAAGATCTGAAGGATTTCTGCCAGCCACATATGCCAGGTAAGAACCTGTATCCTCCACTCATCTCCCCCTTCCTGTAGCCAGAAAGGAGTTGGATCACAACGTTGAACCAAAAGGCTGATCTGTGGACCACTTGCGATGATCTCCCACGGACTCTGGAGGAGTTGTGTTTTATGTTAGCCGAGATTCTGGTTGAATATATCTTGCAGAGTGTTTTCACCCAACCTGAAGTGCAAGGGAAGAATATTCTTGCTTGACTTGGTTCTCCTGCCACTTAGCATTTGAGTTGTCCTGTGAATCATGCCTATTGCTTTGGCCTTCCTCTTCTGAAATATTGTCGTGCAGGCAGTGCTCTAGTCAGGGCCTTTGGTTGGTCTCCCCCATTTCATGGTATCCTGGTCATAACCCTTCAGGCCCTTGTCTGAGTCTCAGCTGTACCTTCAGAATAACTCTTGGCTGATTGTCTCTGCCCTGCTCCTTGGTTTAGTGCTGCCTTCCTCTTGGGCTCCAGAACAAAGGTTTGAGGGACTTGGACCATTCTGTCTGGCCTTTGCTGCAACTCCATCTCTCCTTCCAGGAGCCCTGCTAAAAGCAGCCTTCGTCTGCACCCAAGTCATTGATCTTCTGTCCCACAAAACCTTGCGAGAACAGTTGCAAGAGCGCTTTGGTGGGGGCTTTGAACTGCACACCTGGTCTCGTCTGCCACACGGATCGGGCTTGGGTAGGTGGGAGCTCTCTGCCTGCTGTGGGTCGGTTGAGGGGCCAAGCAAGCCGCGGAGGTTGCTTCTCTTCGGAAGGCTGGGGGAAGGACAGTCGCCTTCTTCGTTATGTATTTATTTATTTATGCATTTGATTTATATAGCCACCCATCTCACATTTGAGACTCTGGACGGCTTACAATTAAAACATAAACAATACCAAAAAACCAAAAAATAAAACAGCCCTACAGGCAATACAAAAAGTTAAAACAATTAAAAGCCACACAATGCAGCCACCGGGAGAGCACAGCCATTCAAGAACCGTCCAGCCATTGTATGGGCTCCACACCCCTCTCTGGTCCCTAGGCCAGGTGGCAAAGCCGGGCCTTCAGGCCCTTCTGGAAGGCTATCGGGGTTGGGAAGGATGTTCCACAGGGTGGGTGCATTATGATAGCAGCCACATCTTTCTGTTCCTCCCTCCCTCTGAAACAGAGCTCGTTCTCAAACTGCCCTTTTCAGCAAGCCCATTTACCACCATCCACATAATGCTCATGTTCTTAGACAAGCCTTTTCCCATTTGGTCTCTCCTTGGCCTTGACCACCAAGACCACCATTCTGTGAACAGACTGGCTATGAGAACTAGTTTCTGATAACATTCGCAGGTGGCCTAAACACTCCACATCTTTCACAAAATGACGCAGATGTTGGACAAATGATCTGAGGATCGGCCTCTCTGCAATACTACGCTGCTGTCTTGCTCTCAGGCGCCTCTGGCACCGGAGGTTTTCACGGCAAAAGGGAGAATTCAGAGTGGGAGGCCCAGACTGTTCCCCCATCTGGTTTTCAAGAAGGCTCTTTCTGGTCCATTCGCCTTGGACTCCAGGGGGCTTCCATTACAGAAAAGCAAAAGGTGATTCCCCTTTTCCCTGACCCATGTTTGTACCGGTTCTCTTTCTCAGGGACAAGCAGCATCCTAGCAGGGGCAGTGATAGCATCGCTGTACCGAGTATCTGGGCGCTCTGCTAGCGTAGAGTCCCTCATTCACGCCGTGCTGCACTTGGAGCAGGTTTTGACCACAGGTAAGGAATTCTTGTGTTGTGATACAGAGCAGCTCTTCCTAGCATCAGGAGACAGGGAGTGTAAGCCAACAGTAGTTAAAACAGTTGCTAAAAAAGGCAAATGCTATTTTTGGATGGATGTATTAACAGGAGCATGGAAGTAATTGCCCCTGTTATTCTAACCCTGTTACTCAGTTGGGTTCATCTTGGAATATTCTGCCCAGTTCTGGGCACTGTAGTCTTAAAGGGACACTGACAAACTGAAGTGAGTTTAGGCTAGCAGTATTGGAGTGAAAGCTAAATCTAGTCAAAGGAAGCCGGTATACAGTATTTAGCCTGGAAAAGAAGACTGAGAGGAGATGTGGTGGCTGTCTTTAGAGATGGAAGCATAATCACACAGAGAGGAAGTGGATTCATTCTCTGCTGCCTCAGAGAGCAGGACCAGAAACACCAGCCAGGGAAGTAGATTCATCTTCTGTACTAGAAAATCTGTCCTGATGGCAAGGTGGAATCAGCTGCGTGTTCCCCTTCCCCGGAGGTCTTCAGAGTCTGGAATGGCATCTGAAGTGCTCTGGCAGATCCTGCACCAAGCAGAGGGTTGGGCTAGGGGTGTTCTGAGGCCCCCTCCAACTCTCTGATTCTGTGATCCTAAGGAGTCTCTCTCTGATCTCCGGGAAGGGCAGCCACCCCTCTGGTTGCAGTACTTTATTGGAAGTGGGAAGCATTTCATACCCGAAAGGGATGCTTTTCTTGGTGGCTTGGACTGACTGACCTGCCCTTTGCCACTCTGGGGCCGCACTCGCCCACTTCCCGGTGGCCTGCCTCGTAGCAGTGGCTTCATGTGTCCAAGGGGAGGGGTCCTGGACTCAAGCTTCCGTCCTCATCTGCAGCAGAGCTTCCTTGCCTGGGTCTGAGACTCATAGGACCTCTTCCTCAGTCCCCAGTGCTGCTCTTTTCAGGTGGCGGATGGCAAGATCAGGTGGGTGGACTGGTTCCAGGGCTGAAGATTGGGCGCTCGAAGGCTCAGCTGCCGCTGAAGGTGGAAGTGGAACAGATCACCCTCCCGGAAGGCTTTGTCCACACCTTGAACCAGCACCTGCTCTTGCTGTACACAGGGAAGACCCGCCTTGCTCGCAACTTGCTCCAGGTAGGTCAGATGCTTAGAGCAAGGGACTGCATCTTATGACTGGCATACCTTTACATTGTTTGCACACATTTGGTCCCCAGATCGCAGTCTCAGGATTCCTCCGTGTTGCCCCTGTACTGCTGTACTCAGAGACACCACTTCCTTGGGGTAGCTTCTGTATACACAAACCCTGAATACGCTTAGATGAAGAGGTGGACACGGATTAAATAGTTCACATGTGAACGATTGCCTGGGGTTTAGCAATAACACAAGAAACAGCCAAAAAAAGGCAGCTTGTGCTATTTAAAAAAAAAAAAAATCCCGGAACAGGTTTTCTCCTATGAAAAATAGCAATTTGTGCAATTGTAATTTTGAATTCTGTCTGCAGTGATTGCAGTTCTTCCAATGACAAATAGAATCGGATTCAGCCTTACTCAGAGTAGATCCATTGGAACCAGTGAAATTTGAGTTAGCCATATTTCTCTAGATCTGATCAAAGGGTATCAGATAAGGGGATTTGGTCCCTGGCAAAGGCCAGCTCACCAGGCATTGACAGAGGCTCCTTGCACAGGATGGTTGACTGTTCCAAGGTCAGGCAAGCTTCTCCTCTGACCACTCTATGGAGAGCCTGATCTTGGGTGAGTTCTGAAGAGCGCTCTCAGAACTGAAAACAACAGCTACACATTCAGCATTTGGAGGAATGCCTGTGCTGGCCATAGTTGCTTCCAGGCAGCCATCTCACAATTGGTACAGCCCAGGTACTAAAAGGGAAGTCATTTGCCCTGGAATGTGAGAACAAAGCAAAGCTCATTTTGAACCTCAACGCTCAGAACACTGCTTTGGACTCAGCATGTTCTAGCAGCACATTTTACTGAAGGCTCTCTCCCTTCGTGCGGATCACTGAGCATATACTTTGAACTGATCTTGAATTAGGTGGCTTCTGTTCCCTGCCAGTATGGCAAAGATGAGGATTAATTTCAGATTTCAGTATTTTTCCTTACTTTACAATAAAATAGCACTATATGGCATTTAGCTAGGTGCTATCAAGTCAGGTCCAGCCTATGGTGCTCAAATGGACAAATGTCTGTTATCTGAGTCTAACCACAGTAGTAATCCATAGTTCTTCCAAGAGCATTCCAATTATCTCCTCGATCTCATCCCTCTGCCTTATCCACTGTGCTGCTCTTCCACTTGGCCAAGTAGTATAGATCTTTCTCATCTAGTCCATCGTTATCTAGCCCGAAATATATGACTTTCTCTTGGCTGATCACTCACGGGGTGGCTTGATTGCTCTGCTACATCGAGGATCTCTCTGTGAAATAATTGTCTTCCAAACATGTTTGAGAAACCCAGTATCCCTTTGCAGGCTCCGCTGCAGCTGCGAGCTTGCTGTCTCCTCCGTGGCCCCTGCTGCTCAGACCTACGAGAAGCCCACAGAACCCCTTTGGATCTTGCAGGGCCCCTCCCAAGGAACAGCCTTCCGGAGCACGTGGGCAGTTTCCCGGCCTCTCCTTGTTGGGAGGAGTGCCGTTGACCCAGGCTTAATGCCCGGCCGCCAGTCTTCGCTGCAGTGTCATCTCTGCTGCCCATGGAGGTGCGTCAGTCTGCCATTTCCCCCCCACCCGGAAGCTCTGTTGTTGCTGTTGTTTATTTCTTTATAAGTGCACGACAATCTTCAGTTCTTCCCTGCGAGCAGATACCGCCTTGGCCTGTCGAGCGCGTCGCAGAACCAGCGGACCCGCGGCTGAGAAGCTCTGGAGGTCATCCAGTGCAGCCTCCAGCCTCTATTTAAACATGACCGCTGCAGGAGAGGCCAATATCTTCCCAGGCTGTCCGACCCATTGTCGGATACCGCTGACTGTTAGAGATCCAACTAAATCTGTGCTCTGGCCGCTTACGCCCATTCTCGTCCTGTTCTCTGGAACAACCCTGAGCAGTTCTGCCCATCTTCCAAATGACAGCTTTTCTGATACTTCCGATCAGCCATCAGCTCTTTCCGTAGTTGTCTCTCCTCGAGGATAAACACACCAAGTGCCTCCATCGTTACTCCTTTTCCTTCCAGGCCCTTTATCATCTTGTTTGCTTTTGGACACACTTCCGTTGTCAGGGTCCTTTCTAGAATACAGTCCCTAAGGCCGGACACGTTATTCTAGGACAGAATATTCTGACCAGCGCAGAATAGAAAAATGTGGTTTCTTCTCTTGATCTTGACACTATATTTCTGTTGATGCATCCTTTACTTGCAGTTGTATCACACTGTTTGCTCAACTTTACCCCCTAATTCACCAAGACATCCAGGTCTTTTCACGTATACTGCCACCCATTACAGTTCCCTGCCCCCCACCCAAAGCCCATGCCTTTGACTCTCCCTGCACAAATGGACTTCGCGCTTGTCCCTGCTGAAATCTTGTCTTGCTGTTTCGTGCCCTTTGTTCCAGGCTTTTGAAATCTCCTGAATCCTGATACTGTTCTCTGAGGTATTTGCTATTCTCCCTGTGTTGCCTGCAAATTTAATAACCATATTTTCTGATTTTCTCACCATTTGTAAACATGTTGACCAGAGCATGGCTTCAAATGGAGTCTTGCAAGCTGCTCAGCACTTCCTTCCCCCTGACACGGAGCCACTGGCATAACACTTGCTTGGTAAGATTGGTCATTGAACGTAGCCTAGTCCAGCCCCCATTTTTTTGGCTTCTTGATTAGAGTCTTAAGAGGGCCTTTTGAATGCGTTACTGATGAAAAGGGATGGTATGCCTACTGCATTCCCGTGGTCAACTAACCTGGTTACTTTATCAAATAAGATTAGGTCTGGTATGATTTATTCATGATAAATGCATCCTGGCTCTTGTCGATGCATTCTTTTCTAAATGATTGTAAACTCGCTGTTTGGTAACTTGTTTCAGGATTTTGCCGAGAAACAGCATCAAGCTGACTGATCTGTAGCTACCCAAGTCTTTTTTCTCCTCCATTTTTGATGTTGGAAACAACATTTGCTCGGGTCCTATGCCCACAACATCTCAAAGACCACAGGAAGGGGCTCTAAGATGACATCCACAAGCTACTCAAAACATTGAGACATAATTGGGCTGGTCCTTGGAGACTTAAACCCCATCACGGTCCCAGGTGTTCCCTGGCCATCTCTTTGAGTTGCTGCCCCCTCATTTTGTCAGTTCTTCTGCTCGGTTTTATTTGAATGCAGTTCTTCTTTGGGGAGAAGACCAAAGCAAAATAGGAGTTCAGGAGTTCTGCCCTCCCTCATCTCTTCCTGAAACCTGCCTGTTCATTTGGCATTTCTGTCTTAAATTATTTTTCTGTATTTTCCTCTGTAAGCTTGTGAGAGGAGTTAACACAATGGTTCAGTAATCTGCAGATTTTCTTGCTTCTCCCTTCTTCAGGATATGCATATGTAGCAATCTTTTTCCGAGGCCACACACACGTTGGAGGGAAGGATGGCCCATGGCCAGCAGATGATGTGTCCTTTCAGCCTGGTGGAAGAGGCATCTGACTTCCAGTGCTCCCTCCACTGGTGGCCTCTGATTACCAGGCCTCCTCACGCGCCACCTTCCGCAGCCCCTCTGGATCACCGATGGAGGGAAGAGGGGCTGGGACTGTTGCCAACAGCTGCCCCAGTGCTCAAGGCGGAGTGTGCACATCTTAGCCCTCCCTCGCTGCAAGGACACATTTGGGAAGAAGTAGGAATACCCGGGGCATCCCCTACATTGCCTTTTTTCATTGCAGGATGTTCTAAGAAACTGGTATGCCAGGCTGCCCACCATTGTAGACAATGCCAGCGCCCTGGTGAGCAATGCAGAGGAGTGTGCCCAAGCTCTCAAACAAGGTACCACCCGCTTGAGATCAAACGAAGTTGTGCTGGGAAAGGGGCCGTAAAAAACAGACCAAACAGGGAAAGGCTGGAGGAGCCCCAGGACATTTTGGCAGTGGAGTGTCAACATAGTTACGGTTATGATCCTGGGGACACTGTTTATTTGGATTTTCAAAGAGTCTTTGATTCAAGTGCTCTTCAGTGAATCTAGCAATTGTGGCATAATTATTATGCACTGCTAATTGGTTAAAAAACAACAACTGAAAGCAAGGAGTAGGAATAAACCACCAATCTTCTCAATGGAGGGAAGTAAAAAGAGAAGCCCAGAGCTTCTGGTTGGCTACTGTGGAAACAAAAGGCTGGACTACGATGGTCCTTGGCCTGCTCCAGTATCCTTAGGAGGCAGAGAAGCTTCCACATTACAGAAATGGTTCCGGAGGTCATGTTGGAACGCCCGTGAGATGCTGGGCGTGCCTTATGGCCTCCGTGGGCTGAATGAAAAGCAACCCAGGGAGGCTGTCATCCTGCTGGGGAAGCGAGCCAGGGAACCCTAACGCACCCCCTTTCCTTAAGAATCCCCACGCAGGGAGTGGACGAGCGACCCCTCAGGCATTCTCCTGAAAGGGGGGGACAGCCAAGCAGAGCAATCCTTGCGCACCTGACAGAGACATGCTGCCTTGTGTGTGTTTGCACACACGTCCCAGAGAGCAGCTTGGGGCGTGTTGCCATGGTCCTCACTGTCTCGTTCCAGGCAACCTGGCGCTGCTGGGCAAGTGTGTGAATCAGTACTGGCTGCAGAAGAAGATGATGGCGCCTGGGTGCGAGCCTCTGGTGGTCCGGCATATCATGGATGTGCTCCAGCCATACGTCTATGGGCAGAGCTTGGCTGGGGCTGGAGGTGGTGGTTTCCTCTGCCTCTTAACCCGAGAGCCCAGGAGCCAGGTGGCCTTTCAAGAGATCCTGGCAGAAGCCACGGTATGTTGAAGCAGTGATCACGCTTGGCGGCTCCTCAAAGAAACAGGAATGTTTTGTAGGCCTGGGAGCCAAGGGTAGATTGAAGCAGAACCCTTCCTGGAGTGGGGGCAGGGCTCCTCCCACGCAAGGGTAGGAAGACTGCTCCCGCCAGCTGCCCGGAGGGTCTGCTAAGCCAGGGGTCACAGAACGTGTCCACGTGTGCTCCTCCCAGGTCCTTGGAAATTTCAGCATCCACACTGTGGAAGTGGACACAGCGGGCTTCAAGGTGGAGCTTCTGGGGGAGGACGCCCAGTAGATGTCCAGAAGAGCAGTGCCCTTTCTGCCCCTTCTCCACCACAGAGGGTGTGCAGCGACTGCCTCCGCAGCTGCCGACCAGGGACCATAAACCGCCTACGCTGCTGTGGGCCTTCCTTCGGCAGCCCCAGCTGTTTCAGATGCAGCGATAGCCTAGAAAAACGATCTGACTTTGTATCGCTCCATTTGTAGTTATACAAATAAAGTTATATATAGGCAGGAGCTTGCTGAAAAAGTCAAAAGCTGGCTGAATCCTCCGCTGCAGAATCTGAAGGTAAAGACCCCTGTCCTCTTGCAGGAAGAGCAACAACCCCCTTTTGAATCCACATCAACAAAAGAAATATGTTAAACATAGAGCTTGTTCAGAGAAGGGGCCACCAAGATAGCAAGGAAACCCCCAGAGCTGCCAGGCAATGAGGTGGTTGGTCCTCCCTTCACTGGAGGTCTTCAAACCGAGGCCAGGTGGCCACCTGTCTGAAAAAATGTTAGCAGGTCCTGCATTGAGCACAGGGACTAGTTCTGACCACCTTTGAGGTCCTTTCCAACTTGATGATTCTGCTGTTATTCACAGAATCATGAACCCACAGAAGCCTTCTATTATTCATGGAATTGGAAGGATCTTGAAGATTATGTAGCCCAACCCCCTGCTTGGTGTAGGAATCCCTCACTTCAGCATACTTGACTGATGGCCATCCAGCCTCTGCTTAAACAGGGCAGTTCACCCCCTCCTCAGGCAGTCACTTCCATTAGCAAACAGCTCCAGTCCACAGGAAATTCTTCTGGATCTCCCACCAAAATCTGCTTCCTGTTTAAATCCATGGTTTCCTGTCCTGATGCCTCACTAATGCATCTGTATATCTATCTCATCATAATGATCCAGCAACAATAGCTAAGCCAATGTAGTTATACTGTCAGCCTGAGGCCAGTTAGATGAGACTGGATGCCTGCCCAATATGGTATTTTGCTTCTGCAACCTGCAACCAGAAGCCCAAAGCAGGATCCCCAAGGGGAGCAGGGGCAGTTACGTTGGCATTAAAGGTGCCCACTTCTCTTTGTCCCTGGAAGGAATCAGCAGAATGCAACAGCCACTGGTAGCTATTTCCTCCTCTATGAACTGATCCAATCTTGTTTTAAAGTCATCCAAGTTGATGATCTTCATCCTGCTTTACAACAGCAAATTACAGTTGCTATGCTGTACAGAGTCTGTCCTGAACCTGAAAGGCTCTTAGGAAAGTGAGAGAGAGAACCACTCTGGAGCTTCTCCAAGGCATCATAATCACTTCCCTCTTTTCTCCTGAAAAAGCCCAAACCTTGAAACTTATCTGACTCCACAAGTTGCCTATTTCGACACCCACTTTAGCTCTTCAAGCACAGTGCCCACACCTGAACACAATCAAACAGCATTACAGTATTAGCAGTTTTTATTATAAATTCCTTGGGTCTGTCAGCTAATTCAGCCATCTCCATGCTAGTCTCCACCTCTTAAGTACCAGCACCCGTTAGAGACTTCAGGATCAGGCAGCCCGGAGGCAGCTCCAGCTGAAGGTCAGACTAAGCTTCCTGACACAAGAGCAGCCACAAGTGGAAGCCCTGTGCCAGAGGGCCGATCGTGTGCTGGACTGTCTGCCAGGGATGCCTTCATCTGGGTGCCTGCCATGAGCAGGGGGCTGAACTGATAGCCCCTCCTGAGCCCAGGATGCTGGGTTTCTGCCGAGCTATGTGTTGGGAGACACACAACGCTCACGTGCAAGGCAGGTAAGTAAGGAGGCACAAATCTAGCCGAGCTCCTTAATGTTTGCTGGAGAGGAAAATTTTCCTAACTCCAGTTTTCAGCAGAACAGCTTTACATTTTCCCTAAATCAGCAAGTGGCTCAGCTTCCATCCTGCTTAGCAGCCACCAGTCACAGGAAGAGGCGACAAATTAAAAAGCTCCAATGGCTACAGGCGCAGCCGTTTGATGTCTTCACTACGGAAATCCATCCGGAGAGCCAGCACTTGGCGGACCTCTGCTGGCGTAAGACACCACGTCAGCGGGCCTGAATTTGGTCCCCAGTAATCCAAGATCTCCGTTACCTAAAAGAGAAAAACATCGATCTGTCCATCTGGCAGAGCCTTGCAGCCCAAGGGCAGGGGCCAATGCTTGAAAGGCAGCAGAATCAGCTGCCCTGCTTGGTTTTGGCTTCAGCCTGTCTAGGACCTCGTGCCCCCCTGCCCCCCAGGCTTAGGGAGTAAAGGCCGGAGGGCCCACCCTTTCCAGATTGAGAATGGTTGCCATCTGGGAGAGCCGAGCAAATTTGTCACGGATGGTCCAGGTGGTGATTGTAGTGAGGTAGGCTATCAGGGACCTCAGTTCTTTGTCAAACTGCAGCCCGCCAAGCTGAGGAGACAGAAAGCAGCTAAGTGAGGTTGAACCACTGGCCGGGCATTAGTTAATTATCCACACCGTCCCCCCGGCTGAGCAGCTAGGAACAGCTTTACCTTTGAATTACACCAAGGCAGAGAAGTATGAGGAAAGACCCACCATGGAGGAGCCTCTCCTCACTCTAAATTGCTCCTGCTTGCTTTACCCACCCACCCTAAACTGCCCACCCATCTCCTTGGCAGTTATCTTGTCTCAGCCCTTTTAGGTAGGACAAGTCAGGAAACACTCCACGAGGACTAATGGGTGTAACAAGAGAATCTTGAAAGCCAGACAGATCCCTAGCCCTAAGCCGGTCTCTTAAACCAAGGAGTGGGGCAACCTGGACTTGCTTCCTCACCCCTCCTCTCTTTCAGGGCCAAGTTTTAAAGAACAGGGAAGTAGCCCTTGGAGTGCCAAAATTGCTGGGGCTGCAACTGCTATTATTTGATAAGGTAAAGGGGGCTCTGGGTTGCCAAGGGAGAGGGGCTGTTTCTCTGGGGCATCATCATCTGACCAAGCCCGTGGCACACTATAGAAGCCGCTTCCCTGCCCTCACCACATGGGGCAGAACCTTGCATTCCCCCCTGCAGAGCTGCAGGAAGCTTGGTGCAAAGCAGAGTGTGTGGTCTCCACTCACAAAAAAGGGTAAGGGGCTCGTTTTGTCCCCTGCAATTGCTATTAGAAGTGGGATTGAGCTACCCCACCCCAGTGACAAGAACTGCCACAGTCTCGCCTGGGAGTCAGGCCATCAGATCTGAAGGAAGTGCACACTTGGATTGAAATCCAGGTATTTCAGCAGGTAGGTCCAGCTGAGGAAGGAGAAATAATAAAGATTATTGTGGGAATTGGAGCAGTCAAGCCAGGCAGATCCGATTAACACTTTCCTGGACTAGACTGCAGAACTTTCCAAGAAGAAACACAGCAATAATGGGAGACTTCAACTACCCAGTGATAGTTGTAAAACCAGCTGCAAGGTCCTAAGAATTCCTTAGTGGTCTTGCTGACTATTTCATTTTCCAGAAAGTTAAAGAGGAGACAAGGGGATCAACTGTTCTAGATTGGATCCTAACTGATAAAGAAGAGCTGGTAGAAAAGGGAAAAGCACTGGGGATCTTGGGAGGAAGTGACCACATCACCTTATGGTTGTGCAGAAACTGGAGTATAGTAGTTCATGCACACGGGATTTCAAGGGAGCCAATTTCAAGAAGCTTAGAGAAGTACTAGACCAGATGTCATGGAGAAGATGATAGGACACTAGCAGGTGATAGATAGAGCTCTTCAGTTCCTGTTCTGCTTTGGTCTTCCCCTCAAAAGGTCCAGTGTTGCAGTGGACCAAAGAGAACAACTCAGTGAAGAAAGGAGTGGCAACCAAAAGTACACAAAGACACAGGGAGCCCCTAGCTACCATGAATGTGTTTGAACTCTTCAAGACCAGATCAGGGTATCATCTCACTGACCCTTTCTGTGATCTCATGGAGGACAAGCAGAGGGTCAGAGGATTGGATAATGACAAGTGTTGAAGAAAAAAAGATCCAAGTACAGTGGGGCAAAAAAGTATTTAGTCAGCCACCAATTGTG